TCTACAGCAAGTTTCAAAATAGTTACAAAGTGCTTTATAGGCCAAAATATTTTAGAAAAGACAACTAAAGCTGCTGTAATCAATATTTTTATATTAAGAAATGTTCAAATGACTATACATAATGTGAAATGGGTCGTGTCATGATGAACCCAGAGAGAATTGTCACTTGACTCTGCAGTTCCCCTCAGCCCACTGAAACATTCTAGTGTCTTTCAGCTCATTGTTTAGGTTTTATGGTCCCAGCTTTACTGTTTTGGTTTGCTCTCACCACTCTTATCAGTGTCATTTCTAGACGCAGCAGTGTAAAACCCCACTGTACAGCAACAAGCTTGTGAAGAAAGTGCTAAATAGCTATATACTTTGCTCAGGAGTTGGTGGAGCAAAAACAGAGCTAAAAGGGAGTGAATATTGGACTTACATTGACAGAAATACAACTCCTAATGAATGCTAATGTTGCTCTGTGTCTGCTGGATGTGTACATAAGCAACTGTGAGCTAACACCTCCACTATAGAAAGTTGATGGTGATAATATTTCAATAATGTGTTTACAGCTTTTTTCCATTGCTCCCAAGTGCCGAAACATTCATATATTGCAGGTCTAAAGATGATTTTTTAAAAGATGTGCGCTGATGTGGCCTTTATGAGAGTTTGTGTGCAGTTGTTTGAAAGTCGAGCAGCAATAACAGCAAAAGCACAATGACCTTCCTGCCTTGACCCAGGAAAAACTGTCCCTAAAACCAGCACACTCTTTCGACAGGATTATCATAAGCCTCTGGCTAATCAACACACCAGTGGGTTTGCAGCAGAAATGTGTGTTTGCTAAAACCTAGTGTTGACTTACACTCCACAATATGTGGAGGAGCACAAGTGAGGTTTCCTTTGAGTGGTCAAGATGCTATTGTCAAGATGTGACTGTGTACAGTAACTAGGTGGCCCTATTGTATGCATTTACCATTGTCACTGGTAAAACTGTGTGATCCGTCATCCAACCTGGGTTTCATAGGTGGCCTTTTGTGGGATAGAGGTCCTTTGTTTGGACTGTTGTGTCCACAGTCGCAAATAAAATGCATGTGGGTTTTTGTCTGCGCATATCTCTGTGCTAGATCAGTACCACAGCATCTTTAGTAAACAAAGTGCATTCTGTCTTCCAGCTCGGTGAGATGTGTGTTAGTGTGTCTATATTGATTCAGTCAATATCTATGGGCTCCATGTCTTATTTTGTGTGCTGCTTCTCACTGTGTGTGTGTGTCGGCTACCTGAATACCTGTGTATTTGTGGCGTATCTGCTAGAGACAGTGTGTATACTGTGCATGTACAATCCATTACAATCTGTGAGCGTCTGTATCTGACAGTCTGTGCACGCATGTGTGTGTAAGAGTGTGTGCGTATGAGGAACAGTATTCCCTGGGCTGCTAGTTATAATGTTTCTGGGGGTGATGGGGGGAACTTGAAAGCCCTGCGCTGCCCAAATCAAAACTAACAAGGAAATGATGGGGGCTCCTTTATCTCCTCTCTGGCCTGGGGGGCCGAGGGGGGCGAGAACGGGAGACTGGGGAGGCAGGGATGGAGGCGGAGGAGGGAGAGGAGGAGGAGAAGGAAGGGAGAGGGGGGGCAGCCTGGCTTCCTCTTTGATTTGTAAAAAATGCATTACCTCCGAAATCAAACGGAAAATTACTGCGCTGAAGCAAAACACACAGAGCAGGAGAGAGGGAGAGAAATGGATGGGTGGGGCGGGAGGGAGAAGACAGTGGATAGGTGTGTGTGAATAGAAAGGAGGTGGGAAAGAGGAAAAGGATTCACCTGTATAGATAACGCTGTTGGATGGGAAAAGGGAGGGTGGAAATAGATATAGGTGGTGCGTAGGTAGTATAAAGAGGTAGCTGGAGAGACCCTGACAGATAGGAGTGCACATATATGTCATCCTCAGAGGACACAAGCTTATACCTGCAGTGGACCACTAGAATATGGCAAATAAAAGAGATGATACAGTATTAATGACCTGTAGCCCACAGGGAAGAGGAAACTTATAGATTACTACCTCGAACACAAAGAATATCTTATTTTTTAAAGACTCATACCAATCTCTGCTGAGGCCTTCAGTCAGATGTGCAGGTTAGATACCAGCATTTTATTGGAAAGACATGCGTATTGAGAGACAGTGGTTTCTAATCGTGCCGCCTAACACATGCCGATGAGTGTTTGGAAATCTTACTGGCACACTGAATACAAAATAATCGGTTGCAGGCTACCTGTAGTATAGTTTTGTGGGAAAATCCCACATGAAAACGAGGAGCTTTTGGTGAGGAGATAACTCTGTTATTTGAACCCACATTGTAACTTTGACTTATTATGGGAACGCGAGGGCAGGCAGAGACGCAAGACGGAGAGAGAAAAAGGTGAAAATTAAGAAATGTTAGCCTGAATGATAGGGGGGAAAATACGCGAGCGAGATAGGATGAATGCCAACTCTATATCTGAAGACAAGGAGCGGCTTGAAGACAAGAAAGATGAAGAGGGGAAGAAGAGAGGGAGAGGGGGCCACAATCCAAAGGCTAGAAGCAGGGTGAAAGCGAGCGAGAGATGGATAAAATAGAACGAGTCGGTCAGAGAGCGGGAGAGAGAGAAATGCCTGGAGTTAGCAATAATAATTTATACAAACACACCTTAATAATTCAAGTTCCATTTCAATGCTGGAGGGAAAATCCAAAATTCACAGAGCATAATTAAATAGAGGCACAGAGTGAAGGGAGAGATAGAGAGGCCAGCATTAAAGATACCAGTGTAGCAGCAGGGCATCTCTTCCATCAGAGCTTTGTAAAACAACCCTGATGAAACTGTGATATCCAAACTAGATCCCATCTCATGGTCCCCTCGCTCGTCATGAAAACACTGAAATTTTCTTACCTTCTCCTGTCAGCAGATGTCTAAATGCATTATATTTAGGAGACTTTGCATCATTAGCTGTCATTTAATAAAGCAACCTCACTCACACATGGACGCATTATTGTTTGTCACGTGTTTGCATCACCAGCTGGCGTATAAAAGGAGCATGATGCAACGTGATGGATTGGAAATCAACAGTTTGTTAAAGGCTTTTATGCACACCTGTGGCGCTTTCGCTCAGGAGCACTCAGTTGTGTTTGTCAAAAACGAATGGTGCAAAATGGCAGTTGAGATATTAAAAAGAAAAGTTAAAAAGGTGCCACTGTCCAGATTTGAGTCAGTTGTTGTTTTAGAGAGACATTTTAATTGCTGTTGTTTAATGCTGCTGTATATTTTGGTCGTTTGGGATATCAGACATGGAATTGTTACCTGGACATATTTTTACTTACTTTTGTACTTTCAAATGGTCTTGTAATATAACCTGGAGCTGATTTCTTTCTTTTCAAATATTATTTAAAAAATACTTTAAAAAGTACATTGTACTTAAGTAAAGTCTGAGGTGTTTGTATACTTACTGAGTATTTTCATTTCATGCTTCTATATACTCCATTGCCAGTGTATTAGGCACAGCAGGGTAAAACCAATGAAGCTTAATGAAACAGCCAAAAAAATAAATCCTACCTTCATAATGGTTATTATGGCAACTGAGTGTACTTCTACTCCACTACATTCAGAGGTAAATATTGTACTTTTTAATCCACCACATTTATCAGACAACAAGGGTTGCCAGTAAGATTTTATGTTCAAAGCAAATAATGAGCTTATGAAGCATGATGCATTGTTATAAATTAACTGTCCAACAGTATGTAAAGCAATTCAAATTAGCTTCACCTCAAGTACAAATATAATATGCTACTTACACATTAATGCATCAATAATAATAATTATAAAATATATAAAACATACAGGGACCATTTCCTGCATAACTTATCTGGTGGTACCTTTGCACTTTTGGCAGGATATTTACATAGTCATATTGTTTGGATGAGTCTGAATGGGGTGGTGATGGCACATAGATAAGATGCTTGCCTTTGGTGTAGGAGACCTGGGTTTGATTCCCACTGTGACCCATCCACCATTGTGTCCCTGAGCAAGACACTTAACCCCTAGTGTCTCCAGAGGTGTGCGACCTCTGACATGTATAGCAATTGTAAGTTGCTTTGGATAAAAGCGTCAGCTAAATGAATAAATGTAATGATTACTTCTTTCACCACTGATAATTGCATATTTTACACTCATACTACTTCACTTCACTTCATACCACTGTAGTAGTAAGTGTTGTACATTTGTGTCAAGTACCTAGCCAACATGGACTTAAGACATCAAATATACTGTTTGAGTACTGAAACGTTAGTCAGTAAAGGACAAAAATATAGTATCATATAATGAAAGAAAAAATAGAAAATTGACTTTATCTTCAAATTAAATCACATACCAGACGTTTCCTTGCCCATCTTTTAGACCATGAAACCCAGTTTCTATAGCTAATGGTCTTGTACCTGAGCATAACTTTGTATATAGAGGTTGTTGAGTTAATGGGCAGTTTTTAACTTTAAAAAACTCCACCAAGGAATAGCCAAGCCATTATATATTAAAAAGTCCTTTTTTAAATATGTAATATTGCTCCACTTTAACTTGGTTTTCAAAGGTTTATTTAATTCCTCCTGTTCATAAATGCACTATAGGGATGTCCACCGTGTTGCATCAGACACAGCCTCTGGTGGCCACACAAGATAACATCCATCAAACACCTGATCTCTACCAAAGACATATGAAACATAACCTTGCCATATTTCAGATTGATTTAAGGTATGTTTTTGAACTCATATTGCGCCCATAGACCCTTATGCAATACTCCATTTTCAACAAAGTTTATATACTCTTCAACTTCAACTTCAACTCACTGAAATAAACCTGCTGGGTAGCTGACTCTGGCTTTGGCAAAAATGTTTCAGTGAAATGTCTTTCCTGTGTTTTTCATTTTTCTGAATGTTCAAATTCATATGCAAAGTCAAGAAATCATTGTTGACTGACATTGTCTTTGTTTCAGGTGTTGTGGAGGCATGGACTGTAACTGCGTCAGTGATCTGCTGCTCCCCCCGGTGCCCGCACTCTGGACGCCAGGTCAGTCTCTTCCCCATGCTCATGCACATTGTTTCTGTTTGCCATTATGACATGTATTTTGTAAAATGAAAATACTCACGCATGTGCAGACATCTTCAAACATATCTCTAAATCCAGGCCCAGCTCACGTGTATATAATTTGGCTGTAACTAGCCAACACAAGCAACTTCAGTTATGATAAAACATAACCAACATCATCAAAATCATCAACATGATACATGTTAAAATTCACATTAGAATTTACCACACATAGGTAAACAAATTCAGTCTCTGGTAGTAATTGGTTGTATGTCTAATGTTTTTACGAGGCTAGTTAGTGCCAGATTCACATTGGGATGAGCCAGAAAGCTGCTTAACTCCATCTATGATGTGCATACAGTCGGCTTTAGAATTCAGGCTCGAGTGGCATCAATCAGATTTCTCCCAGCGAGCTGTCATCATCCCACTGACCAATCTGTTGAGGCTAGAGGGCATTAGCGCAGACTAACATTGCTCAAGGCACGTGCTGTGATATTAAACACATCATCCCTCACCTCCATCTCTCATCAGTCATTCAGACAGCCCTCCTCCGGCAAGCAGTGGGACAAATGACAGGCCTTGACCTCATCCTCCTCTCTTTCCTGCTCCCTCTGTCAAGGGTTCGCCTTCCCAGACTGGGCCTACAAGCCTGAGTCGAGCCCCGGGTCCAGACAGATCCAGCTGTGGCACTTCATCCTGGAGCTGTTGCAGAAGGAGGAGTATCAGGGGGTGATCGCCTGGCAGGGGGACTACGGAGAGTTTGTCATCAAGGATCCAGATGAGGTGGCTCGGCTGTGGGGGATAAGGAAATGCAAGCCTCACATGAACTATGACAAGCTGAGCAGGGCACTGAGGTATTTGTTTGGACATGATGTGTTGAATGTCAAGTAATAACATTGTTGGTATCAGATAACTCAAGATGTTTATCACATACCACAGTTTACATAAGTTGTTTACTCTTGTTGGACTGAATCTTCACTTATGTCTCTTTTTTTCATGTTGGTTTAATGGAAAGATAAAGGTGGGGCTTTTCCTGGGGAACGTCAATACCCTCAATTTCTCCTTATCTGTGGACATCCTAATGGAAAGTTCACCATTGAGCTGCCAAATAAAAAATTCAATAGGGATTTCAAAATTAAACCCCAGTCTGAAATTGCTTGGACTTCTTCTTCAGAGTGGAGAACAGGGAAACTGCTCAGCACCAAACTTGCCGAAGGTGATTAAAACAATACAGTTCACACTTCATACCTTCAGCAGTTTGCACCCCCAACCGCACACACAGTCTTCTTATGCAAATACACACTACCCCGACTTGTTCCCCTGCCCCACCCCCTCCCTCTGCTTTCCTTTAGCCTCTTGTTAATGGGGGCTGTCTTCAGAGTCTAATTGTTATGAATTGGCTGGGGCCACAATTAGCCTTCTTAATTAGCCTCACTTAATTGCTCAATTAAGGGCCACGGCACAATTGCCACGCAAAGCAAAACACGTACACATCATTGCACTGGGCGCAGCCACTGTGGATACATGCTGATACTTACATGGTGCTGTGTTTTTTGATATAGTGCGCCTGCATAACGAAGCATTGCTCACCAGTATTTAATGCTGAGGTGGTCTAATGCATTCTTTATTTGGTACACTTAACTGTGGTCACTTTAAAACAAAGCAATCTAGCGCTCAAACAAATGGCGTCCGAGATTCAAACTTCTATCTCGCGATAACAAATTTGAAGGTTTTTCAATTTGCAGCATCCCACTCTCCCCCACCTGAGCTCTAAGCCCCTTTACCTGAGCCAGATGGCTTCATGTTTTGCCTTTGCTGCTGATCAGCCTGGCATCCTGGCAGCACATTGTGACACCTCAGTGGGTGGCACAGGAAACTGGCATGACAGCGACTCGACATGCCCAGCGGGAGACACCTGAGGTCGTTACCATGGAGACTTCACTTGATGTCCCACCTCTTTGTAAATGTGCTATGCTGTTGGAAACAGTGACAGCTTCTTGGCGTCATTTACATTTACACCTAGGCTGGATAGTCCAAACTGCTTCTGCTGATTCAAATTAAATACCACGTCCATCCTAAAAGTTTGTAAATAATTTTCAATTTAACTGTGACAAATTTTTGTTTTTGTGAATAAAAAAAGTGCATTTACTTTGGTTTGGTTTCTTATTTTAAGACAAAGTTTTGAGGATTATGATTTTCATTTATTTTAATCTCATAATATATAGACAGAGATCCTAATCTAATACCCATATTATTTTTCAATTGATAAATAGTCTAGTGCATGATGAAAGTAGTATTTTGTTTTCTTATATGTTCTTCAGTATATATTCACTGTATTTTAAAGGGCCTCTCAGGATTTTTGGCTTTTTGTCTGTTAACAGTTGAATAATATTTCCCTATAAAGAAGCATATTGTTTTGAATCAAGGCAGTCCGACATGAATTGATTCGAGGAAGGAGGAGATGAATAAAAACAGTTGGAAATCAGCATAGCTCTCGCCCTACAGCGCTGAAGTTGTTTACTTATTCTTCTCTGTTAGCAAAGAAACACAAAACCTTGATGTGAGCATTATATTAATCCTTCCTCTCTCTTTTCCTTTTCCTCTTCCTTTTTGCTTGATCCTCTCCCTCCATCCCTTCTTCGCAGGTATTACTACAACAAGCGCATTTTGCACAAAACCAAAGGAAAGCGTTTCACCTACAAGTTTAACTTCAGTAAGGTGGTGTTGGTGAACTACCCCATCCTGGACATGGCCAACTCTCCCTTCTTTCTGGCCCAGAACCACTTCAACGGGGGCTCCACCACACCAGACTGCAGCCCAGAGGTACGAAGGGTAGGATGAAGGGATTGGGAGAGGGTGGGATCAGTAGAGGGATATATTTTGTAAGATAAAGATGCAATTGTCTATCATATAAAAAAATTACAGTCTGAAACATTTGAGAAATGAGACCCACACAGAGTGAAATCAAAATGAGAACCATATTTGATTGTACTCCTTGATTCTACAGTATGTCTCTATAGCAAGTAATAAAAACGGCATTAAAATACACAGAGAATTTTAAAAAGAGAAAACTGGAACAAAGCAGACAAGACTGTGGAGAAATAGCAAGACTGTTCTCTACTCCTTAATTTTTTATTAATAGTGATTTAATTCAGGTAACTGAAATCCATTTCACTCTTGTGATTTTGCTGTTCTATCTCTCAGGCCCCTGCTGTGAGAATGGGTGGTATTCTCCGTATCTTTTATTCACTCTCTAATGGTGATCATGATAGAATACTTATTGTTTGCCCTGGGAGATTGTAAAATTTGTACAGAGATAACTTTTATCAGAACACAGCAAGAGGGATGCATTAACAAAAATGTTCTAATTTAGTTTTGAAATAATGCTATGACTTTACTTGTGGGTCTATTAAAGATATTAAGAGAAAATAAAAGAATGAAATAATAAATTCTAAACTATATTCGGGACATCGCCACACAAATATTTGAAGTACTGTATTTTCTAACTTGCCAGTGTGCAGATCATTTTATTTTAAACAATTAATGTCCTAGAAAGTGCACATAACTTGCAAAGTACAGTAGGAGAGAATCATCCATCATTTGTCTATGCTATCCTTAAGATGGGATAAGGAGACAAAGACTCTGAAGGAGGCAGTGGAGGGGGCGACAGGACGGTTTTAACTTGTCCTTAAAACAAAAGAAGACATTATCCTCTCTTTCTCTCATCCCTGTCTCCAATGGTGTATCCATCTGTCATCGATTGAAAATGAAAGAAATAGAAAGCAAAGGGGTCGCGTCAGATCAGATCAATGGCGGGTCATTAATGCGGTTTGTTAAGCAACGTAGATCTTGCAGCTTGGGAGTACAGTCTCGCCTTTCAAACTTGGGGCTGCAGGGTGACAGATACTATTGATCCAAAGTCCTGCTAGGGGGGGGAAAATCCTCCCTTTGTCCCCTTGATTCCTGAGATTCAACTGTTCCATTCATTTTACCTTGCCTCCCTCTCCTTCACATATTTTACACAGAAAAAAAATGCATGCACACATCAACACACATACACACACAGCTGCCCTACATCCTGAATAGATGTCATTCTCTCAGATCTCAGCCTTATTTGTCCTGTGTCCTTTCACACAAACTGGCCCACAATCCCTCTCTCTCCTCGTCATTTATCCTTTGTGCCCACAATCTTAATCGCTGGTCTCCATTTGACTCTGTACTCTTCCTGCCTTTGAGTCACTGAGCCTCTGCGTCCTCCTACCTCTCTTTTTACGGCGAGTCCCATGACACCCCTTTTTATCCTGTCCTTGCTGCGACTCTGTCACTGTTTGCATCACACTCTGCAGGGTGCTGCTGTCAACACATGACTTCACCCTGCACAGTGCAGCAGCACCATAATGGCAGACTTGTAGCAATGCATGTGCTTTATTTTGGGAAGTACACAAGCTGAATTTAATCTTTTTCCACTTTCTTTTTTTCTCCCCCTCCTTGATGCTCAGGCCATACAGTCCCTGTTTCCTCGTTTGCCAGACTCTGGCAGGGGAACGTCCCTGTTTGATCGAGGGACCACGGCACCAGGGCCTGAAGGAGACAAGCTGAGACTGGACGCATTCCCCTTCCTCAGTTCAGGTGAGCTAATAGATGGAGAAACTTTTGGTGCCCGTGCAAAAGTAGGAACATTTCAGTATCTCAGAGACAAAGTCTTCTTCATGAGGAAAAATACACCTTGTGTATGAGGCGTATAGGCAGTGTATACACAGAAAACAGACCTGCTTAAAAGCGGAGGAGAAGGAGAAGGTAGAAGGAAAGAGGAGAGCAGAGAAAGAAATGAGGATATGGGGAGGCATGAACATTTATTGTTAAAGGAAATAAGAGAGATGTCGGTCCCATTGCAGCCCGCAGTGTTTCAGGTGAGAGAGGCCAGATTTGCTTGTGAATTATGCATATCAGCAGTGGTAAGAAACAAGTTGAAGGCTGGAGAAATCATCCATCTTTTCGGCATGATTGCTCGTATTTGTCCTCTTCTTTCTCTGCATGCGAGCGTCAACAAACGCAGCAGGGATCTGTGTATGTTTGTTTGCTTGAAAGTACACGTGCATTAATGCATCTGCCTTTGTTTTTATTTCTGCACACTCTATACGTGCATCAGAATGCGTGCGAATGTGCAGAGCCTGAGAGGTAGTGTGTAAACAGATGTACTCACACACATGCACTCCTCATCACACAACCTGCCCCCCTTCCCTCCCCATTCTGTTTGTCCTCAGGTCCTATTCCCCCCTTCTTCCCTTCTCACCCTCCTCTCCCTCCCATGTGTCCCTGCTGTCCTAATCCCTTCCCAGGCAGGAAGGCCCTAATTGAGGGTGCAGGCTTCAGTTTGTGGCCTGTGGGCGCCCATTACTGTGTTTTCATAAGCAAGTGAGGCCTGCCTGACTGATTCAATATTCATGTGTCTGCCAGCTACTCCTGGCCCAGCACGCAGAGACTTCACCACTGTCAAATTAGCCCTGCATAGTAAATAACGAAGTGAAAGAGAGAGAGAGCGAGTGAGGAAGACTGAGAGAGATGGAGGGTGCAGCCAAGAGAGAATCTTTGAGTTGGTTGTCAGTTGGAAGGAAGTACAGTAGGTTGAGAGGCAATGCTTTTGTTTGTTCATTAAAATTGAATACCAGCATCACCTCAAATTTACCCTGTTTTTCTGTTATCAAGTGTTGCTTACAAGGAACTGAATTCAAATATGGTGCAATATTTAATTTGCTACATCTTTTTTGCTTAATCTGAAATGATACGGTGATGTTTCAATACATTTGGGGGGTGGAGGGGAAAGAGATCGACAGTTTGCAAGTTTCCTTTCTGTCACTTAACCTCTGGAAGTACACACACTAGGGTGCTGATGCATTCATTATTATTTCTCAGCTAGAATGTTTCAACCAGGTCACTGTCACCACTGTGATGATGTGCAGCCAAAACATAAGGCAGCATGTTACAAATATTTCCCTTTTAGCATACAGGAATAATAAGCCATTTGCAAGTTGTAAACTCTGCTTGATTAGTTGTTTTTTTGTTTTTTTTACTGCAGTGTAGCACCTTGGTGTTCACATCTGGTTTTTAACAGTGATGTGGGTGTACTACACAGTATTGGCATGCACAAATGAACCATCAGGTTTTTTTGTTGAAAGCAACTGTACCAGAATTGGCCCCTGTGGCTTCTGATTAGAATTGCTAATACCGCTGAGCATAATTAGTGAACATTCTTGGATGTTGTATGTCAAGAAACCTTTGGCCCTTTTGAGAGCTAACCTCCATCTCTGGATTTTCTTCATCCTAGGTGCCCCGTGCTACTCCAAACCCCCATCCCTGCTGGGCCCGTACCCGCGCAACCCACCCTTTGACTACCCCTGGGGCTTCAACCCCTACCTCCCAGGGGCCTTCTCTCTCAATAACTGCCCCAAAGTGCCCCCTGGCTCCCTCTACCCCTCCCAGTTCTACCCCAACCCTTTGCAGAGCAGCCTTTCCCAGCTGCCTCACCCCTTTTCCTCCCTGCTGCCCCCAGGGGAGGCAGGCGGGGGTGAGAGGGGAGCAGCGGGGCAAACTGGAGGGACAAATGGCACGGCGGGTGGCCAGCCAGTCAGACTCTTCCTGCCACCCTACCAGGGGAGCCTCTCAATGGGTCGGACGGACATTGGCAACGGGGTGTCATTGGGGGAAAGGGAGAGGGTGGAGGCCAATCCTCCTGGCACGGGGTTAAGTCTGGGACTGGGAGCGGTCGCCCTAGGAGCAGGGACTGGGACAGGCCAGCAGAGCCCCTCAGAGAGGAGAGGAGGGGTGAAGCAGGACCCTGAGTCAGACTCAGACCTGGAGATCACAGATTTGAGCGACTGCAGCTCGGAGAATGAAAACGAGCATGAATTCAGCATCGGGAAGGAAACAAGCCTGGCGAACCGATCACAGATAGTGTTGGATGGAAAGAAAGGGAGCGGGCTGCCACCCATCTCCTCTCTCCCCCCGCCAGTGTCCCCACATCCTCTGAAGAGCCTGATGCCCATCAGTCCCCCACCTCCGTCCCTGCCTCCGTCGCTTTCCCCTTCCATGGCTCTGCATGAAAGACACAGGGAGACAGAGACTCTTAAAATGATACACAGCTAATACATTCTCTCCTGCGTCTAACATCTTGCCACTCTGTGCTCTGATAACTCTCTTTTTCTCTCCTTTCTTTTCTCAGAGACACTTTTCTGCTTTAAATTGTCAACTCCCCAATCAATCTTCATAGATACTTTTTCCAGGAAAGACAGTTATGTTCTTTACTTCTAAAATTACTGTTTCCCTGTTTGCTGTGTAAGTTTTTAACTTCCCTACAGTCCATTACACTACTGACTTGTCCGTCTTAGAATATATGGGGCGTACAGTTTTTATCGGCTGTCTGTATCACCATCTTGTCCTTTCTGTTCTGATCTCTCACACCAAATGATCGCTCCGTGGTATGTACACTTGTTTTAAGCGTTGCCAGCAGTACTCTACAATTTGCTGTCTGCGGTCGAGCTATGATAGAAGGCAGTGAGGTGGTAAATTACAACACAGGAATGCCTGCCTTGACAAACATTAACAATCAACATCCCTATACTAACAGAACAGAACAACAAATAATGCTCCGATTGATCCAATTTTACAGATTTGTCCTGTAATTCTTGAGCTTTGGACTATATATAGTCACTATGACTTTTGAGACCTAGTCAAATACTACCACCTAGTGGTCCTTTAAGTCAATGTGTCCTTCAATGACATCATCTCTGTAATCTTGTGAGTAAAATTGTTGTTCCTAAGTTTATTTTGCACCTTTATATGATATTGTTTCTTGCGGGTTTAATTTAAATGTTAAAATCCATATTTCTAATAGTGTTAACTGTGATAGTCTGTGAATATTTATTTTGTCCTGTGGTTCAAGTATTTCCTGCACATTTTCTTAAAGGAAAGAAAAAGAGAGCAGAGGGAGCTAGACCAATCTAGAAATTTGTATGAATATTTCTGTGTATATATTTTGTACATTACATTTAATTATTATTCACTATGATAAGATTTAGCTGTATTGTTGTGATTTAATTCAGTATTTAAACATGTTGGAAAATTATAAGCTTAGGTGTATCAAAGTTTAAATTATTAATGGCAGACGATCTGCACTCTGAAGATGTTTTTCTATGATGAGGACAGAGTTCACACTGGGAATTGTCTCTGATTTTCTCAACCCCAATTAATTGTGCCCTTTGGTCATTTTTGCCAGATGCCCAACGTACAAACCCTTTGGGTTCAAAAATATGCCGGTAGACTTATTTTTATAGTTAAGCATTCACCCAGTGTAACTGTACTGTAATTAGTCTAATGTGAATAATATTGGTCTTTTCATTTTCTTTTTTTAAATCCTCCCCCCAAAATCTGTTTTGATTATTTTTCAATCAGTGCTTTTTGTCCATGCCAGCAGCAGGGCAATTGGGTTTTCTTGAGGACATTAAACAGTGTGTGTGTGTAGGGGGGGGACTGTTTATCTTTGCTTTACCCAGATCTAACAGGAAAAAAAGCCCCTTTCTGCGGCCCAGTTTCTCAGCACAGAGTGAACACTAAACCATATTGTACAGCTTCAAAGCCTTTATAACCTATGGTTTGTCAAACAGTGGCGACATATGATTAGTTGTGAAAGCTCTATTGTAAAGTTAATGTAAAGCTCTATGTTCGTTAAGTTGCTACGGGAAAGGCCTCCAGTCACCTCCATGTGGAGTACACTAACTAACAGCTGTAAATACCGTTTCCTTTGTGTGTGTATGTGTGTGTACACATCCAAAAATGACAATGCAGTGGTTTTACCTGTCACCTCTCTCTGTTTTACTGTAAAGAGGAAAAATGGAAAGAAGAAAAAGAAGAAAAAGATTAATATCTTCAAAAGCAATAAACATTATTCTGGATAGTGGACTGTTGTTGACTGAGTTTGTTGAATGGATTCATTGTGTGACATCGAGGAACGAAGAGTAGCTCAAATGTCTGTCATAATGTTTGAAATGTATTGCAGGTTTTTCATCACCTACTTATTTGCAAGTGAACAACCCTTGTTCTTTTGGACACCACAGTATATTTAAATATTAAGAATTAAACTACATTTTCATATCTGATCATGTTATATCCCCCAATTATAACAAACAATTCAGATTCACATGTTACTAAAAAAAGATGATGTAATTCTTCTAATAACAAAGTTTGATTTCTTGATAGCACACTAATATGGATTTCTGTTAAAACAGCCCATATTTTGTATTAACTTAATTAAATTAATGAAAGCATTCATTGAATAATCAGAGTATTCTAACATAAGTCTATAATGGTAATGGTGCAGTGTATTTTTACAACTTGTTCCTAATTTGGTGTACTAAAGTTATTAATTATTGTTTTACTGTTTGACTTTCACTCCTGGTACAATAATCTGGTGTAAATATACACACACACACTACATTATACTATTATATAAATTTCTATAGTAATATATACAATAATTATAATATTAAAAAATAATAATATTAATACAATCTACCAGAATACCTCTAGATTGGGTCAAGACCATTCAGACACAAATTTTAATACTTACACCCTAACTGTTATTTTTGGGGGTTTGTATGTTAATCACTTTTACATTTTATAACCAGCCTATGCCATAATTCCAATGAAGGGTATAAATAACAGTTCTGAAAAATGCAGACACAAAACAGCGTATGTTTCTTCAACATCTATCTCATCTGCAAACCGCTCGTAACCAATCAGGAAGGTTTGGTAAGCCATAACCTGAGTGAGGAATACATCCCTCAAAACCTTACTTCCAACGCAGACACTTCTCTGCAGCTCTGACACAATGTGTGAGGTCTTAAAGGTAAATTTGCACCGTTTGAACATAAATGGCAAAGCACTGGAGGAAACAACCTTATCACATCAACAATCTTAAATCTCTACAAAGCTGCCACTCAGAATGTTTAAATCAAGGTTATGACCATGATACAAACAATGAGGAGCAAACCTGATGGAAAAGAAGACAGAGAGTCAAGAAGGAAGGACCACAGTAGGAAATGACAAAGTCCTCATAAGGTTATTTTGCAGTTCATTGTTAGTGTTAATGTTATATGCCATGACCATTCACACACACACACACACACACACACACACACACACACACACACACACACACACACACACACACACACATTAATGCTTAAATACTGACTGGTGCAAACTCTGTTGAACTCATTTTTATTTGATTATGTTTATAATAGCCAGTGACTGCAAACACAGAACAGCACCTTTCACTTTTCACCTTTCACCACCAATCTTGATATGATGTAAGGTTTGGGTCCTTACTATATGCCTGTGTTTAAATAGCGAGATTAATATGTAGAGCCCAATATAGACTTTATTTCAAGCCAAGTGCCAAGCCAAGTCAAGAGCTTGTTCCTTGGGAGCAGATTGCTGTTTCCAAGATTTTGAATGAACTTTTGAGCCTCAGATTTTATTTATTGAGACAAAACCTTAAGGATTTGGATTTACTAGCGAGACATGTACTTTTATGTAGGTATTGGTCATATTAGCTTGAGAGCACAGATCAAATTATTAGGTCAGGACAGTACAACTGTGGATGGGAAAGGTCTCATGCCTTTATTTCTCCACAAGGTGGCGCAATGAAACTACATTAAAGGTGACCAAGCAGGGAGTGAATTATGATTTGAGCAATTGAACAGTTGCTTTGATTTCACAACAGACAGATGTTTTTTATGGGGCTCAAAACATCTGCAATCTGCTCAGACTGGCTTCACAGAAGTGTGTGCAATTATTATTAATAATTATTATACAATTATGGGTATATATGGGCTAGATATTATAGTAGATCAGCTGCGAAAAGTAAATAGGCCAGTGTATGCTTACTACAGTAGATCTTGTTTGTTTAGGTGCATTCAAGAGATTCATTTAGGAAGAAAACAACTTTTCAGTTCACCTTAGGATTTGCGTCATCGCTGATAACAGAGAAATCAGATTTATGCGAAAGGCTTCCCTAAAGTTATCTTAGTAATTAGTAAAATGTTGGTCATTGAGAGCAGTGTTGTTCTGTGAAGTGCAAATAACGTGCACAACTCTTTGTCATATCTTGGTCAAATATGTCGTTTTCACAAAATACAAATAGTCTAAACACGTGAATGTCACGCTTACAAAATACTTCTGGTCAGAGTGGGGACCCAATGGGGACGGGTTACTGTGTAACACAGTGCGGAAACAAGCAGTTTAAACTGTTGACTTTTTTTCCCCAGTAGTCGAGCTTGTAAAAGACACATAAGCAGCGACATTAGTGCAAGTTTTTTTTAACAACGTTTTATCGGACACACTGTGGTCGATAATTTAAAAAACGTCAAATATTTAGGCTATTTTGTATTCGCCGCCTGGTCGACCCTGTGCTTCTTTTCTTTTTTTTTTTTTTTTTTTTTTGGATGTGTACTTCCGCGTACAATATTTTTTTCCAACTGACACACGACAACTTTCGAACAGGAAACCTATTAGACGCTTCGACTGTCGCTTTCTCTGTATTTACGGGTGAGTATATTATTTTAACAGTATGCTGACAAACGTTATGAAGATCTTGAACTTTTGCGGCTCTGAGTTGTGAATTTAAAGCCGTCATGGATATTTGTTTTACCGAGAGAAATCGCTTACCCCCCTCCCTCCACCCTCCTCCTATAGCCCGAGCTGCTGACCGTAGCGTCCACATACAGGAATGTTGTGCTCGGCTGTCTGCTGCACTACTTATATCGCCTGCTCTGGATAACTGCTGATAACAGGTTTATTTAACATTTCGGTTAATGAATGTAGCACTGGAACAACAATGACTCTTATTAGAAAACTCGAAGTGTGCGGTAGAAGCATAGGTTAGACGCATGGAAGTAGCAGTTCTAACAACTTCAGGTAGCAGAGTTGGACCGTTTGTATTTTCTGGCAAAGCCATCTAAGGGTTTAATGCTCGACCCGTTTGGGTTTTATCCCACAAACAACAAATCACTTTAATATTTGCGGAGGTAGTCATGCTGTGTCATTTGTAGTCAGTGGGGAGTTTATAGCTGGTGACCTTGGGAAATTTTATGTATTATCTTCTTTGCAAGACTATCCTTCTGACATTTATCACAGGAGCAGTGTGGTTATTTCTCATCAGGGAAATACAGCTGTAGAATATGAACCTGCTTTTATATATTTCTTCTTAAATGATTGCTTTTTTGTTGTTGTTTTCTGCTCTGTCCATTTGAATCAAAGCAGTGCCATAGCAGAGACTTGGGTAGTCAGTGCCGGAGCTAGCTCTTTCCTTTCCTCTTTTATTTATTTGTAAACATTGTTTTTGTCAAACAAGAAAAGGAGGCTGCAAACTTGCTGCACAGTGTGACACAGTCCCTCCCAGTTTTTTCCCTATAGCACTCACTCATCTGATCAGCCTATATGTAGTGGGGGTTTCAGTGCAGACAGTGTTAAGTAATTAGTGTCTGAATATAATTGATTGCCCATGATGATTTTGCCTTGTGAAACAGAGGACATCGGTGGTGCAGAATAGGCGAGAGCTTCCTGCACTCACAGGAAACTGCAATTACTGTACATGTACTGCGGCTTCATTATCTCGCTGCAGTCATTAACTAAAGATAGGAGGCTGGAACAGTGTGGGTTGTGCTTGCCAGTAAGCCGTTATGTTTTCATTAATCACTCCTCAAAGGACAAAAGCTTGTTTTTTGTTGTTTTTTTAAGCCAAGTTGCCAGGCCAGTTTGT